TTCTTTTATTGAAACGAACTTCTATGTTTAAAAACTGAGAATAACATAAGCGTTACGAATATTGTAGAATAAAAATGATTGGTGTGATACAAATAAGAGTAGATTAAGAAAGCATTGATCGACAAAACGAGAAAAGTACTTTCCTGAGAAAATCACATTTTCACCGTGATGGAAGGCGAAATCAAGCTTGCGGATACGATCCGTCATTGTTTTCCCCACGATTCCATGAATCGTCTCTCGAAGAGCTCGGGAACTGGTCGACCCTGTTGGAAGGAGAACCTTCGCGAACGAGTCGTATTCCAAGTAGGCCGCCGCGGCGGATGTACACTGTCGAGTCGAGATTGAGTCGTTGGCTGCTGTTGCTGCCGCCGCTGTAGTAACTAGTTACTTCTAAAAATCTATAAATCGTTTCTGAGAAAATCTGTCTTTCTTCTCATCAAGGCTTCTTGATGAAGTTATTTTAATAAAAGGTAATTTCATTTCTTGTATCGGTACCATCATAATTAAAAAAGATACTTTGAAATTCTTCATTTCGTTCCAACTTTTTCTTTTCCTTTTTTTTTTTCGTATTGTTCGTTGGAAGTTTCATCAAATAAAAATTGTTTTTATTAGCACGATTATCATCACGAGTGCGCGGTATCGTCTCTGATGGCATTGCTCGTTTCCTCGGAACTTTTTTCCCCTCCTTTTCTCACCGTTCTTGCCAGTTACATACGCGGCCTTCGTATTGGCCGAACAACATAACGCATCGATTATCTGTTAAATGACGTTCACGCCACCGTGCATCCCCTACCCATAGGTCAGCTCTTCGCGACTTCCATTCCTTCCATTTTTGTTTTTATTTTTTTTTTTTTTTTTTTTTTTTCTGAAATCAAACGTCATGTGCAGACCACGTGGATCCGACAAAATGACGAACGTGTCGCTGGTGACATCCCACGGCAATTCGCTCAACTAACTGCACTGTCAGCGGTTCTCAATGAAATCCACATAATTTTTACCTTTCAAAGGTTTTCTCGTCGCTCTCTTTGCCCCATTTGGTAACTCGCTTCAGCAAGCAAAAGTTGTGAGAGAGGGAGAAACGATTATTTACTTACTTTCACCCGCACAGTTGAATTGAACGTGGATGGATGGATGTAAATCATTGACGTTCACATGTGCTTTTATCATTTGTTTCTTGGCTTTGTTGCTTGGGTCGATCACGTTTTTCGTAGTTGATATCACTGTGGATCACAAGACATTATTTGTATATTTTAAACTTTATATTCTTAATATAAAGCAAAGTAAATTTAATTTTTATACGATATAATGGAATAATAGTATATTACGTATGAGACTAGATTGAATCTTAGATTAATATAGGAAAATTACTAATCAGTCTCAATATCATTTTTATATACTTAATACATATACTTATTATATATCTTTGGACGGATATGAGAAGAAAGAAAAGGAAAACAAAGACGAAGGGAAAGATAAAATGAAGAGGAGTATTTCACAAGGGGCCCGCATGCTTGCTGATTGAACCCATGAGTAACAACACTCCTCTGTCCCCTTCGCCATTTGTGCCCCCTTCTCTTCCATACCTACTCGATCATCCATTCCAACGATGACTTCTTCCAGGCTAGGGTAGGGAGATGCCTGACGTCATTCTCCAACGTCTGTCAGCGAGCCGACCCTCTGAGTCATGCCGTTTTGCCCACTCTCTTGCTTGTAGCAGAATATCGAGACTTGGCAAGGTCTTTCGTGATCATGTCCCTAAATCGTCACGGGAAAGATCCCTAGCTTATCATTCAAATTTTTTCCCATCTATAAAAATTTTGAAATTCCGTTTCTATTTTTCATTTAACAGAAATTATAACTCATCTACAATCAATTACAATATCAAATTCATACGTTTTCTGATAGAAATATATAATTATATAGAAATATCATTCATTGCAATTTTCTATATAATTTTACAACAATTTACTTTCCAAAGTATTAGAATCTGTGCACTGGGAAGAAATAATATGAAATTAATTATATTACTTTTATATATGTATGTATGTAGAAACGAAACCCCATACATAGAGAGGCTATAATGTCGTGTAATTTGTTTATTTTTAGAGTTGTGCAATGATGGGTCTGCAGGCCACGGCAGGAAAACGTAAACTGGAGGGAGGTGTGGGCTGCATGGAATTCGACATGGATATGGGCGAGAGCCCATCGAAGTTGGGCCGGGTGGAGGGTAGCTGGTGGGCGATGGAGGATAGTTACACGCCCCCGCTGAGCCAAACGCCGGCTTCTTATTACGACATGGAAGTGAGTCCGCCCTGCCTGCAGACAAATCCTTGTCAGCCGACATCGACAAGCCCTCAGCAACAGCAACAGCAACAACATCAAACGGCGCAGCAGCAGCAACAGCAGCAACAACAGCAGCAGCAGCAGCAGCAACAACAACAGTCGTCGACGCCGACGTCAGCACCTCCACCGTCTACGGTGGCGCATCTGCACCATCATCCGCAGCACTATTACCATCATCAGCGCGGACCTAGCAGTCCGGTCGGTAACAACGGTTACAGTCAACTGTCGAGGCCTCAGCCACAGTGGGGGACACCTCATCATTATGAGCCACCAACGATACGGAGAGAAGAAAATGGAAAGAGTTACTTGGAGCTTGGTTCCAGTTACCGAGCGAACGAGAGGTGCTGCGAAGGTTCGAGGTCAAGCTGGTGTCGGCGTGGCAGAGCGTGTTACAGACAAAGGCGGCTGGCAGTTTTAAACATCTCCATGTGCAAACTGGCGAGGTATCGCCAATTTCCGGATCCGAGTCTCCATCGATCGGTTCTTATTTGTAATACGCTGAGGCATCTAGAACGCGAGATGGAGAGGGACAGAAGTCCGCCGCCCATGGAGCCGGTTATACCGGCACCGATCGCTCAACTTCAACCTCCTGAGCAGGGCAGGTTAACACCGTTCCCGATGCCGCCGACGTCTTCGAACGAGACAGATGCCGATTCTGGAATCGGCGATAGCGACGACAGTCGTTCGATTAATTGGGGCAGCGTGCTGTCTCTCTCGAGTCAGTCGCCATTGGATCCATTGAATAACAACGAACTGCTGGACGTCGATATCGGTCCGGATCTAGATTTAGACTTCATGCCTGGATGGAAGTTGACGCCCCTGTCTGCCGATGACATCCTTAGGAGTACGACAGCACAAGAGCAACAACAAAATCAGCATCATCATCACCAACAACAGC